TCGCAAAATGTGCGCTTCGGCATAACATTGTACGCGCTATGAACAGTACAAGCAGAAAGGACGAGCTCGCAAAGGAACCCAAGATGGAAGCTTTGCGGTTCAACTTACTTGATTGCGCAGATTCAGTTCTATCCAACTCGAAATTGTACTGTTTTGTTTGGTTGTCTATAGTGTAGCAGGGCAGGCACTATAGGGGTACAATTTAGGTGAAGGTTGGATGTTGTTTGTCTGTATCTGCATGCTACAGGGCCAGGGGAAACCAGCGGAACCAGCATTTGGCTGGTTGGGCAAAGACAAAACAGGCTCTGTTTTTAGGACCTGAACCTGGTTGTTGTTTTCCCAGGTTGGAAAAACAGAACCAGAGGTTGTTCACCAACCTACCACCTGCCATTTTGTCCAGCCAGGTTGGTTCTGTTGCTTGGAATTATTTGGGATCATCCGTGGTTGTTCCCAGGTTGATTCCCAAGGTCCTTGCTAGCTAGAGCTATTTATTTCTTCTCTGTTTGTACCTGAATATAGTGAAATTGATTCAGGCGAATTCCTTCCTTGCTGGAATTTCGTTTCTACGCGGTGCGACGGCGGAATGCTACCCGAGTCAACGCTAGTACGCTAGCACTCCAACGCTAGGCTAACGCTGTCCGAGCCATAACTTCGTAATGGCAGAACTTTTCGCGAGGCAACTTGGCTTATTTTAAAGCTCTTAGAGTGAGCTTCGATATAGGAAATTCTCAGCTTAATCCGATCGACGGTCTGCACGATACGCTGCGCAACGTTCAAGGTACTCTTGCTGTTTTGACTAAGTCCCTCTTGATCCCTCTCTCTACAAACTCGGACCCGAGGATAGGGGCTGGTCTTGTACCAGGCACCCAAGGACCCTTGGAGGTGACCCCGAGGAGAGGTTTTAAGTGTGATAAAGTCTTAATAGCTTGAGTTTATTAGGCCCTTACACCAACAGAACCTGCCTACTGTTTTCTTGCCCCTGCACCAGAGGAACCAGCTAGCATGGAGGAGGCATTAGCTGGACCAGATAGGGAGAAGTGGCTGGTTTCCAGGGATGCTGAGTACCAGAGCCTGCTAGAGAATGGGACATGGGAGTTGATGGTGCTGCCTGAGGGGAAGAAAGCCGTACAGTGCAAATGGGTGCTAAGGATCAAGACCGATGACAAGGGACAGGTCACCATCTACAAGAGTACGCTGGTGGCTAAGGGGTTTATGCAGAAGGAGAAGCGGGACTTCAATGAGATCTTTGCTCCCACTGCCAAACCCCCTACCCTCCGTGTCTTGTTGGCAGATGCAACCGTTAGTGGGAAATTCATCATTCAGATGGATATATCAACGGCATTCCTCAATGGGATTTTAGAGGAGGAGGTGTTCATGACGCAGCCACCTGGGTATGAGGATGGTACGGGCAGGGTGTGCAAGCTGAAAAAGTCCATCTACGGCTTGAAGCAGGCGCCACGCTGCTGGTACCAGAAGTTGGCAGCTGTTTTAGAGGAGATGGGATTCAGGACCAGCAGCTGTGATGAGAGCCTCTTTCTCAAGGGGGAGGGGGAGAAGCTGGTGCTGTTTCTGGCCTATGTGGACGACATTCTTCTCTTTAGCAGCAGCATGAAGGAGATTCAGAAGGTGCAGCAGCAGCTGATGGAGAACTTCAAGTGCAAGAACCTTGGGGAGGTAAAGTACTATCTCGGGATGCACGTGGAGAGAGATCTGGATCACAGGTGGTTGAAGCTGCACCAGGAGAAGTTCATCAAGGAGCTTGGGGAGAAGTACGGAATTGAGATTGAGCGCAAAGTTGCAACTCCCCTGCCAGCAGAATTCAAGCTTGTAAAGGCTGCAGAGGATGAAGGGGTTGAAACTGAGGAGCAGCAGCATTTCCAGTCCTTGGTGGGGAGCCTCTTGTATGCAGCAGTTCACACCAGGCCTGACATCTCTTTCTCGGTTGGGCAGCTGGCTAGGGTGGTGCAAAATCCATCAGAGGAGCAGGTGGATGCAGCTGAGCGTGTGGTGAAGTATCTGAACTCTCACCCAAGCATTGGAGTTCAATACTCCGCATCTGCACAGGTGAAGCAGAAAGGGGTTGAGGTGCTGAAAGAGAAAGGGGAGAGGCTTGGAGAAGGCAAGCTCTTTCTCACTTGCTTTACCGATGCTACGTGGGCCTCTGAGAAGGAGGATTCCTCATCTGTGGGAGGATACATCTGCGTAGTTGGGGGAGGACCGGTTAGTTGGAGGTCAAAGAAGCAGACGGAGACAGCACTCTCTTCTGTGGAATCATAGTACATGGCAATATTCCACGGGAAGAAGGAGGTGATTTAGCTGAGGAGGCTGTTGGAGGAGATTGGCGAGGAGCAAAAGGTTGCTACGCCGCTGTTTTGTGACAACAAGGGAGCTCTTGGAATGGCCAGGAACGCTGTGCTTCATGGGCTCAATAAGCACATGCGTATCAAGTGGCACTGGCTGCGAAAGGAGGTGAAGAGGGGGACGGTGAATCCGATCTACATCAAGACTCACCAGCAGCCAGCAGACTTCCTCACCAAGAGGCTAACAGATGAGCCTCATTGGCGTTGTGTGCGCATGAGTGGAATGAGCATGAACTAGCATGGAATGATGGAGATGCAGCCGGCAGGCTGAGGGGGAGTGTGTTGGGTGCAAATACACATTGCACGACATCCTGCCGTCTGTTTGTATGAGTATGCGTCTGCGAATGCATTTGGGTGTGAATGGAATGTTCGTCTGTTTGTTTGCTTTCGCAATTTTCGCTTGAAGCATTTGCAGGTACTCGCGCATTATGCACTTCGGCACAACATTGTACGCGCTATGAACAGTACAAGCAAAAAGGACGAGCTTGCAAAGGAACCCAAGATGGAAGCTTTGCGGTTCAACTTACTTGATTGCGCAGATTCAGTTCTATCCAACTCGAAATTGTACTGTTTTGTTTGGTTGACTATAGTGTAGCAGGGCAGGCAGTATAGGGGTACAATTTAGGTGAAGGTTGGATGTTGTTTGTCTGTATCTGCTTGCTACAGGGCCAGGGGAAACCAGCGGAACCAGCATTTGGCTGGTTGGGCAAAGACAAAACAGGTTCTGTTTTTAGGACCTGAACCTGGTTGTTGTTTTCCTAGGTTGGAAATACAGAACCAGAGGTTGTTTACCAACCTACCACCTGCTGTTTTGTCCAGCCAGGTTGGTTCTGTTGCTTGGAATGGTTTGGGATCATCCCTAGTTGTTCCCAGGTTTATTCCCAAGGTCCTTTCTAGCTAGAACTATATATTCCTTCTCTGTTTGTACCTGAATGTAGTCAATTTGATTCAAGTGAATTCCTCCCTTCCTGGAATTTCGTTTCTACGCGGTTCAACGGCGTAATGCTACCCGAGTCAACGCTAGTACGCTAGCACTCCAACACTAGGTAAACGCTGTCCGAGCCATAACCTCGTAATGGCAAAACTTTTCGCAAGGCACCTTGGTTCATTTTAAAGCTCTTGGAGCGAGCTTCGATATAGTAAATTCTCAGCTTAATCCGATCAACGGTCTGCACGATACGCTGCGCGACGTTCAAGGTACATTTGTTATTTTGCCTAAGTCATTCTTTATCCCTCTCTCTACAAACTCGGACCCGAGGATAGGGGCTGGTTTTGTACCAGGCACCCAAGGACCCTTGGAGGTGACCCCGAGGAGAGGTTTTAAGTTTGATAAAGTCTTAATAGCTTGAGTTTATTAGGCCCTTACACCAACACAAGGTACTCTTGCTGTTTTGACTAAGTCCCTCTTGATCCCTCTCTCTTCAAACTCGGACCCGAGGATAGGGGCTGGTCTTGTACCAGGCACCCAATGACCCTTGGAGGTGACCCCGAGGAGAGGTTTTAAGTGTGATAAAAGTCTTAATAGCTTGAGTTTATTAGGCCCTTACACCAACTCTACTTGTACTCCTAATTCTGCTCAATGCACTCATTCCTCGTTTCTTATCATGATATCAAGCAAGTTCCCTAGTGGGAACGATTCCTAAGGCCCACCACGATATTTTTTTTCCTGCCCGGAGTGCGCTTCACTCCTGCCCGAGTCGCGCTCTATGTGCCCTCCCTACCGTCGAGCCCTCTCACGGCCCCTTCGCGCCGCCTTTAGCGGCCCCTCTCACAGCCCCTTACGCCGCCCTTACGGCTCCTCGCGCTGCTCTTTACAGCCCTTCGTGCCGCCCTCTATGGCCCCTGGCGTCGCCTTTACGGCCCCTTACGGCCACTTGCGACGCCCGTCGGCCCCCCTCGCGGCGCCCTTACGGCCCCTTACGGCCTCGTCGCTGCCTTGTCTAGGCCCCTTACGGCCCCGTCGCCGCCCCGTCTAGGCCCCTTACGGCCCCGTCGCCGCCCCGTCTGGGTCCCTTACGGCCCCGTCGCCGACCCGTCTAAGCCCCTTGCGGCCCCCTCTGCGGCCCCGTCTAGGCCCCGTGCGGCCCCTCTACGGCCCCGTCTAGGCCCCTTGCGGCCCCGTGTAGGCCCCTTACGGCCCATCTGCGGCCCCGTCTAGGCCCCTTACGGCCCCTCTGCGGCCCCTCTGAGGCCTCGTCACCGCCACCTGCGGCCCCGCCGCCGCCGCCTGCGGCCCCATTGTCGCCGCCTGCGGCCCCGTCGCCGCCACCTGCGGCCCCGATGCCCTCCCCTAGCGGCCCCGTCACCGCTCAGCCGCCCAGCGACCGAGCCGCCAAGCAGCCCAGCAGCTGAGCCGCCCACCAGCCAGAGCCGCCGAGCCGCCCAGCAGCCGCGCCGCCCAGCAGCCGAGCCGCCCAGCCGCCGAGCCGCCGAGCCGCCCAGCAGCCGAGCCGCCCAGCAGCCGAGCCGCCCAGCAACAGAGCCGCCGAACCGCCGACCCGCCTCGCAGCCGAGCCGCCTAGCAGCCGAGCGGCCGAGCCGCCGAACGCCCTACTGTCGAGCCGCTGCTGTTCCTGCTGGTGCGCCCCGGCCCTACTTACTCAAACTGGTGAGATCATTCCCTACTAGGCCACTGCAGTCATGGCTACCCCCAGTGTCCTTACCTTTGATGCTGAGGGCCGTGCCGTTGACTTTGAGGTCTGGGTCGATGATCTCCAGCTGTTTCTACAGTGCCATGGGGCAGAGAGACTCTCTCTGTTCGATCTCACGTCTGGTGTTTCTCCCGCCCCACCTGCTACTGCTGACAGCACTGTTCGCTCACAGTGGGCCACACGCGATGCTGCTGCTCGCCTTGCTGTGCATCCCCACTTACCGACCGCTGAGCGTGCGCACTTTAGCCAGTACAAGAGTGCTAAGACCTTGTACGACGCTGTAGTTGCACGCTACTCCTCCCCTGCCACTGCTGCTCTTAGCCGCCTCATGCTGCCGTACCTGTTTCCTGACCTTGCTGCTTTTCCCACAGTCGCTGACCTTATCACTCACCTTCGCACTAGTGACATTCGCTACCGCGCTGCGCTTCGTGCTGAATTCTGGACCAAGAACCCCCCCCCCCCATGTACATCACCCTCTACTACATAGTCACCCGCCTCCCTGACTCCCTTCGCTTAGTCAGGGACCACTTCCTCTCAGTTTGCCCCACCACACTCACCGTCGACCTCCTCGAGGAGCGCCTCCTAGCAGCAGAGAAGAGCATAGTCGCTGTAGGAGTCTCTCGTGGTGACCCTCGCACCTCTGTCTTTGTGGAGTGTTACCCCTCCCCCCTCTTGCCCTCTGTTGCTTCTGCTGCTGCGGCCGACCTCGTTGGTTTCGAGTCGGTCGGCGCTGCATCTGCCTCGATCGGGAGACGCCGCACCGGCAATGGCAAGGGGGGCAAGGGCGCTGGAGGGGCTAGCGGGGGCGGTGGAGGTGGTGGTGGGGGCAGTAAAGGGGGTGGGGGTGGTGGTGGTAGTGGTAGCGGGGGTGGAGGTGTCGGTGGCAGCAGTGGAGGCGGGGAAGGCGGCAGTGGTGGCGGAGGGAGCGGAGGCGGTGGAGGCGGTGGAGGCGGCGGAGGTGGCAGAGGCGGCGGAGGTGGTGGAGGCGGCGGCGGCAGCAGTGAACCTGGTCGCGGCTCTGCGCAGAGGAGTAGCTCCGGTGGTGGTCCGCGCCAGCAGCAGCAGCGCAGCCGCGAGACTTTGTCCCCTCAGAAGCTTCGTGAGTAGTACGCTGCACGTCAGCGCGGTGGGGGTACTGGTCCCTGCACCCAGCGCTGCTTCGGCCGTGTGAGAGTACGACGGCTTATGCCAGCTATGCTTGCTTGCCTCTACTTTATCATGCTATTTCTAGCATAGGATAATCATATGCATGCATGAATTGCTTGATTTCCTAGGCTAGGTGCTTTCCTATATTTGATTATAGTTATAGCAACGAGCTAGGTTGCGTGCACCGAATTCTGGCTTTCCGGTTGCCACCGAATTGCCTTCTACCGAATTCGGTAAGGATCTGTTCGGGACGCTTCGCGACCCGCGGAACCTTCGCGTAACACCTGGTTACGGGGCCTTGTGTCGAGCCTATATATAGCCTCGTGTTGTACCCAGGTGGACATTCAATTCGATTCAATTCGACTCAATTCTCATTCTCTTTTCTGAACTCGATCTTAGATCCTTACACTTGGTAATCAGAGCGGGTTTACACGCGAGGTCTTCAACCGCTTAGTTCCGGCCTTTAAAAACCGCGGGGGCGACGACGAAAGCGCCGATACGGGTATGTAAAACCAGTTCCGCGCAATTTTTCTAAGTCCCCCTCGATTCGGTTTTCGAACACCCCTCAGATTTACTGGTGGAAAGGTTGGAGTTTCGACCGTTCGATCGACTTTCATCTCAACGGCCCAGAGAATTTCGCCCAAAAAAGTTGGAATTTGGAGCGTCGGATCGATTTCTCCTCAACGGCCAAGATCGGACGCGAATTTCGCCTAAGGGAGATTTACGCAACCTACAGAATTCGCGCTCGTCGATTATAAAGTCTATTTGACTCGCAGTAAGTCGACCAGCACCTAGAATTCGATTATTTTCGTCGCGCATCTTCCTGTAAATCACCGAATGGAGGGCCAAGGCGACAACTACGCGACTACGAGCGACATCGCGAGCCTCCGCACCGACATAGAGCAGACGCAGGCGACACTTCGTCGACTCGAGGCTTTTGTGACAAGCCAACCAGGGTTCGCCACAGCAGCAGTGGCGACACCGACATTTCACGGACCAATGGCACCACTGTCGCCGAACCTCGAAGCAGCACGACCGAGGCTCCCGGAGGCGTTCGATCCAAACGCGAAGGGATCCGACGTCCGGCGATTCGTGGCCACCCTCGAAATTTACTTCGAGGCCATTGGCTGTTCGACCCCGCAGCACGACGCAACAAGGATTCGGCTCGCAGCGACACTGTTACGTGGACCGGCTCTCGAATGGATTTACTACACCGACGTAGCCCGCGGGGAGAAAACGTGGCAGCAGTTTCGGGCAGATTTAATCGAGCGTTTCGAACCAATTAATACAACCTACATGGCGCGGCAGCAGATACACCGACACAAGCAATACAGTAGTGTAACACAGTACACGCAGCAGATGGAGTTACTGTTCAACCGCATCACCGACCTGACCGAAGGCGAAAAAATCCAGGCGTACACCGAAGGATTAAAAATGGAGATTCGGCGGCAGGTGATTGCGGCGAATTACAACAGCTACAGAGACATCGTGCGTGCTGCCGAGCGATACGACGCGCTGACTCGAAGTCAACCCGAAACACGACGCTTCACGCCGAACCGTACATTCGGCACGGAGCGATCGGCACCCCCCACGTTCACCGAACCGATGGATATCGACAAATACGACGCGAAGCAGCAGCCGACAAAATGCGAATTTTGCGGCGCAGCATGACATCAGTTTTTGTCGTGCTACAAAATAAAGAAAGCATGTGCGGCACTCCGGGACGGAAACAGTGGAGCACCCCCGAAGTAAAAAAACGGGAATCGCCAGTAGCCGCGGATCGACCTGGCGATCGCGTAAAGATCCGAAAAGCAGGAAAAGGCGACGACGTGGCGACTTCGGAGCGGGTGAAAAAAGGAGAAAATGATGGCGCGAATTTAAAACGTCACGATTGGCCGGCATCAGGGGAAATCGCCGAGGCGAATGGAGGCTCCGCGAAAAAATACTCTGCATCGACCGGGAAACTCCAGCCGAACACCCACGAAAGTAAGAATTCGTTAAAAGTATCCTATAAAGATGCTCTAACGAAGAATATTGCTTCTCGTGGTTTACAAGCCTTCAAAAAATTCAGGGGAGGCCTAGGGGCCAAGAAAAAGCCTTTAGAAATTATTCAGGTACCTGAGAAGTTGGGCAAAATACTACGGAGCGTAGAGAAGGGTCGTGCGTTCCGTGGAGTTAATATTCTCTCCCCGCAGCACAGTGTTAAGGCTCCCCGTCGCCCACAGGTGAAGCCTACACAGCTGCCAAGGCTTAGAGGAGACATCCAGGCTCAGGAAAAAATATACAAGCCTCGGAAAAATCCTCCTACCCCCCAGGTGAAATTGGAAAGCGCTGAGTCAGGTATAGGAAAAAGGGAAGGTATTAAGTTTGATGTACCCTATGATCCACTCTTCTTCGACCGCATCATCACCATCCACGGCATCCCCGCTACACTCATCTCAGACAGAGACCCCAAATTCACGAGTAAGTTCTGGAAGGAGCTCATGGGACTGTTGGGGACAAAGCTTGCAATGTCTTCAGCATACCACCCCCAGACTGACGGACAGACAGAGCGACTCAATCAAGTGGTTGAACATTTACTGCGCACAGCTTGCAAGGACGACGTCAGCCACTGGGACAAACAGTTACCAACCCTAGAGTTCGTTTACAACAACGCATCATATGCTGTTGGTGTAAGGGCCTAATAAACTCAACCTATTAAGACTTTATCAAACTTAAAACCTCTCCTCGGGGTCACCTCCAAGGGTCCTTGGGTGCCTGGTACAAGACCAGCCCCTATCCTCGGGTCCGAGTTTGTAGAGAGAGGGATCAAGACGGACTTAGTCAAAACAGCAAGAGTACCTTGAACGTCGCGCAGCGTATCGTGCAGACCGTCGATCGGATTAAGCTGAGAATTTCCTATATCGAAGCTCACTCTAAGAGCTTTAAAATAAACCAAGTTGCCTCGCGAAAAGTTCTGGCATTACGAAGTTATGGCTCGGACAGCGTTAGCCTAGCGTTGGAGTGCTAGCGTACTAGCGTTGACTCGGGTAGCATTCCGCCGTCGCACCGCGTAGAAACGAAATTCCAGCAAGGAAGGAATTCGCTTGAATCAATTTCACTATATCCAGGTACAAACCGAGAAAGAATAAATAGTTCTAGCTAGCAAGGACCTTGGGAATAAACCTGGGAACAACTAGGGATGATCCCAAATAATTCCAAGCAACAGAACAAACCTGGCTGGACAAAACAGCAGGTGGTAGGTTGGTAAACAACCTCTGGTTCTGTTTTTCCAACCTGGGAAAACAACCAGGTTCAGGTCCTAAAAACAGAACCTGTTTTGTCTTTGCCCAACCAGCCAAATGCTGGTTCCGCTGGTTTCCCCTGGCCCTGTAGCATGCAGATACAGACAAACAACATCCAACCTTCACCTAAATTGTACCCCTATACTGCCTGCCCTGCTACACTATAGTCAACCAAACAAAACAGTACAATTTCGAGTTGGATAGAACTGAATCTGCGCAATCAAGTAAGCCGAACCGCAAAGCTTCCATCTTGGGTTCCTTTGCGAGCTCGTCCTTTCTGCTTGTACCGTTCATAGCGCGTACAATGTTATGCCGAAGCGCACATTGTGCGAGTACCTGCAAATGCTTCAAGCGAAAATTGCGAAAGCAAACAAACACACGAACATACCATTCACACGCAAATGCATTCGCACACGCATACTCGTACAAACAGACGGCAGGATGTCGTGCAATGTGAATTTGCACCCAACACATGCGGCCATAGGGAAAACTACTTTCTTCCTGTGTTACGGACGGGAACCACTCACACCAGAGCAGCCATTTACACCGGCACACGTCCAAGCCGCACATGACTTCGTCACCACCATGCAGCAGCTATGGGAGAAGACTCAGCGACGTCTCACCACGATGCAGAACTCCCAGAAGCAGTATGCCGATCGTCAGCGACGTGATCACTCAGTAGCAGTCGGAGATCAGGTGCTTCTTGACATGCGCAACTTGAACCTGTCTCACCTCCCATCCAAACTCCGGCCTCGCTTCTGTGGTCCTTTTCTCGTTGAGGCACAGGTGATACCAGTTACATTCCGCTTGCGCTTACCAGATACATGGAAGCTTCACAACGCTTTCCATGTCCAGCTACTAAAGCCCTACAAGGACCCCAACCAACAGTTCCAGGGACGGCAACTACCGCCACCACCACCTGTTCTCATACAGGATGAACCCGACTACGAGATCGAGCGCGTTCCCTCTCATCGGCGCCGCGGTGGCAAGACTCTCGAATTCCTGATACGCTGGAAGGGATACGACCCGACTGAGGACAGTTGGGTTGCAGAAGCTGATATGGGCAACGCACGCCGTGCTCTCAAGGACGATCTTGTCAAGCAGGGTGTATCTCAAGCCACCCAGCTTTGAGGGGGGGACGTGTGAGAGTACGACGGCTTATGCCAGCTATGCTTGCTTGCCTCTACTTTATCATGCTATTTCTAGCATAGGATAATCATATGCATGCATGAATTGCTTGATTTCCTAGGCTAGGTGCTTTCCTATAATTTACTATAGTTATAGCACCGAGCTAGGTTGCGTGCACCGAATTCTGGCTTTTCGGTTGCCACCGAATCGCCTTCTACCGAATTCGGTAAGGATCTGTTCGGGACGCTTCGCGACCCGCGGAACCTTCGCGTAACACCTTCGCTAACTTCGTAATGGCAGAACTTTTCGCGAGACAACTTGGCTTATTTTAAAGCTCTTGGAGTGAGCTTCGATATAGGAAATTCTCAGCTTAATCCGATCGACGGTCTGCACGATACGCTGCGCGACGTTCAAGGTACTCTTGCTGTTTTGACTAAGTCCCTCTTGATCCCTCTGTCTACAAACTCGGACCCGAGGATAGGGGCTGGTCTTGTACCAGGCACCCAAGGACCCTTGGAGGTGATCCCGAGGAGAGGTTTTTAAGTGTGATAAAGTCTTAATAGCTTGAGTTTATTAGGCCCTTACACCAACAAGCTGGTATCAGAGCTGCGTT